TATATATATATATATATATATATATATATATATATATCTATTCATACATATATACATGGATATATACATACAACTATACATGCATACTGTACATACATACACGCATGCATACATATATACATACATACATACATACATACATATATACATACATACCAAAAATACATAAATGCATACTTACGTATATACATACACTGCTTTAGAAGTTAATTGATGTGTACTTACAGATAGTATCGTTCCTTGAGTGCTTCGATAGTCCTCTCAACTGGTGGGGAAGTGAGTCCGGTTCCCCCCATGTACCTGCAATACGTTCAGAGCACAGATTCAATATGTGTAATAGCGGACACGCGTGACGTCCTACACTAGTACGAGATGATGTGCAGCCTCATTTCGGTATGAGATACATTAAGGTATTTGAATATGCAAAGGATATACTGACTCGTGCCTTCTGACGATTACACGTACCTACATGCACAATCATGCATATACATACGTATAGGTCGTTAACATTCCTGATGAATGATGATGCATATACATATCTATATAGCAATGGTATTTTGATACCAATGTTTTGAGTTGACAACACACATGCAGGAAGGATCACATTGACGACACATTTGAGAACATACATCTACACTTGCATAATCTTTATAACGAACTCATGCTATGATCATGTTCATAATGAAAAACACTTCCACATATTCAAATACCAGACCATGTTGAAAGAATACAAGCATATACGAACCCAGTACAATCGGATTCATATCTGGATCACAGAGTATGAATATAGAGTATGCATACTGAATATAGAGAATTCATACCTGGATTCATATATGCATATAGAGTATGCATCAGTTGCAATACAAGGTACGGATGAAACAACTGCGCTAAAACTGCATAGATGCACTTAGATTTATAAACTCTCGCACGCGTGCACGCTACACATCACCCTTTAGATGCACCCACAGATATATAAAAATACGCACACAAGTGATGACCTGTACTACACCTATAAACGACAAGTGTGTAGTTCATCATGCGTTAGTTAATGCCTTAAAATTCTGTTTTGCGGTCTAAAAAGTAGATTGCTATCTGTACCTGCGTGTGACCGACAATCTGGTCTGTCGTGAATACGCACGTGTATGGTCACATAACTATATACATACGTATAGATATAGGCAAATATAAATACGTACACGCATACGAACTTCCAATAAACCTTTCTGATACATACACAAAACAAAAATACGTATACACAATTTAATACATGGTCGTTTGCACATATCTAACGGTACCCCACACCTACCTATCATGCACAATGATAAAGCGCCGGTCGAACCTTCTACACAGTTCCAGTAGTTCGTCGGTCTCAGCTCTCGTCCAGTCCCCACTGCGCGGCTGTATATGTGTGGTGTACTCCTCATCCGTGTACACCTGCGTATGGACGTTGTTGGCGGAGACATGTGTATGCATATATGACTACAACATACGGTTAATAAAACATTCCCCACTGACCCACGCCATTGATGCAGCCCAGGGCTGTACTATACACATTCGAGATACACCCACATCCAGCCTTTGCACTCCGACGAAAACAAGTGGCGAATATAATTATGGAAAAGTACAGGCAAAGGACATGCGATCGCATCGGTGTCCGTGACTCTCGAAGTCTGAAAGCCAGATCTATAGCAAAATACTCATAGCGACTGTTTATACATCAACTGGGCCGAGGACGACGCTCGTGTAATGGTATGTTTGCATTGGTACGTTTGGTTGATGCCTCAATATCAACCACGGTGACATAATACACAACCTTCTGGGTCACAGGGTACTGTGCAAGTCACAGTAGACGCACGATACCGATTTGCAGTCAAACTATATACCGAGACGCCGATCCTAACCATCTATACATTCGCGGTCATAGACTGTGGTACAGACTAGAAAAACATCAGCATAACGCGTTGCAATACAAATTCATACCGGGACGTCGGTCATAACCATATCTCCTAGTGGTGCGAAGGCATGTTCGTTCTCTCGCAGGGATTCTGGTACCCAATGACTAAGCTTCAGAGCGTCTTTTCTGCCGTGATTTATAATGGGGGCCTGGATCCATTTCCTGGCTGGAACTGCTTTTCGCTGCCTGCGTTTGGGTGTACAATATGCAAACAGGTAAACTACCTACGCGTATA